GAAATGGGATGAGAAAGGTGGTCATAATCCCAACGGATCTCATATGGAAGCTTTCAACGAATGTTGGAACTTGATCGGCAGTGCATGAAACCAATTTGTGGCCAACGAGTAAAGCCAGTGGTAGCTTGCTCATCACTTGCGAAGCTAGGAAGAAATCAAACGAAAGCACTTTAGAAGGTTTTTCCTGCTGTGAAGCCCTTCCGGAATGGAACTCAAACAGAAGTACCTTACCCCCCCAATCATGGAACCTCTCCTTGTGATCAGGATGAGCTAGATGCCTCCCTGCTGGGAGACCGATCGAATCGGAGTTTCCTTAGGTAGCCATTGACCTACAATTCTCCATAAACTTTCGTGCTTGGTAGATAAGAATTGAGCCCTTTCTCTATGTTTGGTTTTTAGAGTTTGGAGGAACGGTGTGGAGCTGAGCACCTTCACATACGGCACAGCTTCGGAGCGCACCAGAAAGGGGGATAAGACGAGAGAAGTCGGGATTGGCTTACTCAATTCTTATAGCGGAGTGAGTGATGCAGTGACCCACAGCAAACGAAGAGGGAATTTGGAAAGGGCCCATGAGAAATCGGCTGTTGCCAAGATCCAAGGACGCCAAACCACATTCTTAACTCTTTGGATCCAATTCCCATCAAATCTTCTTAAATATGCTTACTTGTGTTTTAATTATATTTTAGATAATTAAAATGAGTTTTTAACATCTCTCTGAATATTTTATTTTGGTGAAAAAGAATTTTTAAATAAGGAAAAATTATTTTATTGGATTTATTTAATTCAAAGAGAAAAAATATTTACTGGTTTTCTAAAGTCCTTTTTATTTATCTAAAATTCCTTTTGGATTGTGGGGGCCCTTTGGGACTTTTGGGCCCACCGCATTTGAGCTCATTAGGTGGGGGCGTGGGGCCCACATAGCGCACTATATATGGGACACCCCACATATTCTATTCTTTCTTTTTAATGTATGGTTTGTGATGGAAGCCACCTACTTGTTTTAAAAATAAAAGGAAGGTTTAATGGAATAAGGTTGATTGATTTAAAATAGGAAGGTGTAGAGATTTGATTGAAATTGGATTTGTAAATACTTAATATTTTCTCTACCCAAATATTTGATGGGAATAGAGTTGCAGAAACTGAGGGATAATGGTTGTAGCTCATTCTTTTGATCATGATAGCTGATCTAAGGAATGAAGGGCTAAGATCTCTTCACCCCACAGGTCTCCATGATCTACGGTCAAGATTAAGTCTCATAATGATGGCAAAAGCCTAAACCCCAAACCCTAACCTCCTCTGACATGTTCAACTTGTTGAGGTTGGTGACACCAAAATCATTGTCCCAAAGAATGGTTCTATCCTGAATGAAAATTTTACTTGAATAAAGAACGATATACGTAATTATAAAGGTTCCTAATTTGTATAGAGTTGATTGATATTGTTTCATATCTTGTGGGGATGTGAATCATGGAAAAAGGACTATAACCGGGCAAGTCAATACCGATTAAAAATTTTCTATCTTTTCTTATGTATTACTACCGGATCACTTACAAGTGTTCTAATACAATATATGACTCAAATAAAATACAAGAATGCCAAAGACTCATTTGCTTGCTGTCAAAATAAAGTTATATTTATAACATGAATCTGAAAATTACATAAAAGATGCAATTCAATCAAGAAAGCGTGAAATAGGAAAATACTGCATACCTTGCTCCAAGTTACACTTTAAGACTTTATACATCCCACACCAGGTCTCCTTCATTAATGGTGTACAGGATCTAAGTTCAAGAACTTGTCTCACAACTTAGGAAGCCTAAGCAAAACCAGCAGAGAGCATAATATTGGATAATCTAGACTAAAGCTCAACACATGAGCATAAGGCCAAGACCTATGGCTACGCTTATCGGCTTGGGCGTGCCACTCCTTTAGGTTTATTTTTTTTTCTAAACCCTAATCGTAGATAGAGAAGGAGAGAGAGAGAGAGAGATCAGAGAGGGGCATGCCACCCCTTTTGGCTCAGAGAAAGAGAGAGAGTTAAAGTTATGAGGTGTAGAGAGGGAACCCCCATAGCTAGTTTATATAACATAAATGCTAGGGTTTATCGGGTTATGGTTTTGCCATCATTATGAGACTTAATCTTGACCTTTGATTTTGGAGACTTGTGGTTTGAAGAGATCTCATCCTTTCACTCTTTAGATCAGCCATCATGATTAAAAAAATGAGGTGGAACCATTATCTCTCAATTTCCATGACTCTATTCCAATCAAATATTGTGTAGAGAAGATTACTAAATCAATTTCAATTAACTCTTACACTTTCCATTTTCGAAATCAATTAAAATCTCTACACCATACTTTCCTAAAAAATTCAAATCACAAGATGGCTTATTGCACAAGCCTCTCATTTTAGGAAAGAAGAAAGAGGTGGGGCGTCCCACCCCTATGGGTGGCCTTCTAGGCCCCACGCCCCACTAATTGGTCGGCCTAATGAACCCCAATAGGCCCCCAATACTTTAAGTAAAACTTTCAACCATTAAAATAAATTTTATAAAGCCACTAAATATTTTATTTTCCTCTCTAATTAAAATAAATCCAGAAAATTGATTTTTTACATTTAAAAATTATTTTTAAATAAAATAAAATACCTAGAGGTGTTTAAAAATCGTTTTAATTATCTGAAAAATAATTAAAACATATTTAAACATATCTAAGAAGATTTGATGGGAATTAGATCCATAGAGTTAGGATTACAACAAATATACTGAGGACTTCATCTTTCTAGAGACTATATTTCACTGCAACTTCTCAAACTGGCACAACAGTTCCCATGACCCACAGCCCTTCGCAGGGGCTCATTATTGGACTATCAAAGTCACCCAATAAATGAAGGAGACATGATCCTAGTCTATAGATTACAAGTACCTTCCCGAGGACAAGTTCAAGCCCTATTTCAGTACTACGCTTTATGGGTCCTTCCAGCACAGTCCCGTGTTGTAAGGAGTCATCTCTTTCGTACATGTACGCATCACATGCCCTTATCCTAAGGGCAGCTTCCCGGACTACTAACTAGTGGTGATAGTAATGATGAGGTTTTAGGCCCTTGCCCTCTCCGGCCAACTATCACACATGGGTTTACATCTAGTCCCCTAATGTATTTGTCCTTGGCACAACTCCGACCTCATCAAGGGATGACCCAACATCAAAACCCATATCGGTTGTGCTCACACAATGCCCAAGACAACGGGTTTTTGACATCACCTTGAGCCATAACCTGTCAAAACTCAAGTGGAGTTTCGGCATTAGCAATGCCTCATAGTCCAAAGTGGACCATACTCCCATTGGAGCCAATATTTCATTATATAATTTTAATATATGCTCTCATAAGGCTGCCAATATTTCATTATATAATTTAATATATGCTCTCATAAGGCCTTTAAATGGCCACATAATCCCAACAAATCCTTGTCTTTTAGGGAGCCAATATTTTCGCATAACTTACTGCAAAGTAGGATGTTATGGGTTGGATATATCTCTTACTGTAAAAAGCGAGGATATCACATTGGGTTGCTTGGAGATCAAGCTAGTATGTGGCCTTTGTGTGTCCTAGATGGGTCACCATATTTGAAAGGCAGGCTTTCTCTAGAGAGATCATGACCCGACAGACAAAGAGAAGTGAGCTTCCTAGAGAGATAATATGCTATGTTGCCTCCTATAAATAGAGGTTGGTCTTATAGAGAAGCGGTTTCCTTAGAGATTTTAGATAGTATCCCCGAGAGTTGTTTTCAATTGAATGGTATCCCAGAGAGATAGGGAGGTTTTTTTCTTCTTTTTTTTCAATTGAAAGGAAAAAAAAAAAAAAACTATACGGTATGCTGATTTTAATAGGGGACAACTCTTTTTCCTCCCTTTTGTGCTCGGACCAGTATGGTTGTCCAATGTTGTAAAATCAGAAGGAAAGCATCCAAAATGATCAGCTATGCTAATGGAAGTGACTTGCCCGTTTAATGACAAAAAGGCTTTATTGGTTCCCTTCTTTGGCCAGAACTATTGGTTTTGGCTTTGGCTAGATGAAGTTATGAAAGACCAGCTGGAAAGAAACCAGGAATCTTCAATTATTTAATCACTGTTAATCCTTGGATACCTGCAACTGTGCATGGGTGAGATGTCTCTGCTCTTGCATATCTGATAAGGTCGCAAGACTTCAAGTTGTTAATGAGTTAGCATTGAGAAGCACCATTGCCTCAGCTTGAGTTGTTTCACCAAGCATGTGGGCCTGTCCCTACACTCAAGAGAGGGAGTTTAGATTAGCATACTCTAATCTTCACGATGGCTCCAACTAGAACTGAGCACAGATTTTCTGACAAGCTTCCATCAAAATTGGCATTAGTCCTATGGGTGGGGGAATCCTATGGTTCATGGGTACCGAAATCCCACTAAGCCGCATGGACTGTGTATTCGGGGGAGATGACTTATTGAATATTTAGCAACATCCATACAAGACAAAAAATCATTTTAGAGTAGTTCTGAGAAAAAAATGATTTTAAGCACCTTAGCGCTCTCTGCCTTTAGGGCTAGAAACCCCATTGTTGCACACGATTTTGAGTATTGTAACCCAAAAAAAAACACGTATTCCATGCCCAATAAAGTCCCTTCTCGGGAAGTAAGGAATTTGAAACCCTTTTCTAGTGATATGGTACCGAAATCCCACTGAGCTACAATGTGGTGCTTCCTAAATAATTTTAGATTTGGACTGTTATAATTAAATCCATTCGGTAATTGGAGATTGGAGGTTGGTTAATTAATCACTGAAAAGTGTCTTTGGTGAAAAGCATGTTTTCACTTCCTAATGTGAAAATCATCCTCTGAACCATGTATAACTCTTTCCAAACTCGTAGTGAAGTTCCTCTATGCAGATAACAATAAATTTCTTCTGATAAATTCATTCATTATGCTCTAGCAACCTGACATGTCTATATGTATTCTGATTTATTTTAACAGAGAATGGCTTAGACCGGGTGAGGAAGTATTGGTTCAGAGATTTGACCCCTCTGCTTCGCTGGATACTATTGGTTTCTTCATCGCAAAATTCAATGTTGACCAGAAACAAAGCTAACCAGATATGATTAGTGCTTTTTTTATTATTAATAGATGATTAGCATCCACTCATGGGATGTGAACCTTAGGCTCTCCATTGTGGTGTATTGTATCTATTGATACACAGGTTCTGCAGCTTTTCTTTTTCTAGTTTTTGAGCATATATTGATAACTATTTAAAAAATGATCTGTCTGAATTCAGGTTGAAATGTTTCTTCCCCATTATCTTTTGAAGTGTTGTACTAGAAATAGTTACCCTTCTATTAAGCTTCCATAAAAAGGATGAAAAGTTCTTCAATTGATGAAGTGATTGTAATTTGATTGTCAAAAATAATACTAATGATAATAACAGAGTGATCAAAATTTGATTTGATTAGGTTCAAGGCAAAGTATAAGATAACACCAGTGACCGTGAAAAAGCCCATGATTATTATGGTCATCACCGTCCAATCATTGCCTAGATGAAGCGCCAGACCTGCCTGGGCATTATAAGATTCCAAATGGTTAGTTCGTCTCTGTTGCCCAACAGTTGATTGGACGGTGATGAGCCTATTGAGCTGAGAACATGGTTTACTGTCCTCAACTAAATGCAAAAAGTATTGTACCTTTTTTGGAGGGTTAAAAAGAGTTATATTTCTGTACAAAAATCGTTAGTTATTAGGAATGGGGCTTAGGCTTGAATGGTTAGCATGAACGTCAAGCGAGGCTGGATCTCAAGTTCCATTCCTAACATTGAAGTTTGAACTATGATTGATAAAAAAAAGATCGTTAGTTGTGATTGATCTATGATTGATAACGAAAAGAGGTTACAAGATTACAAAATGTAGTAGCACTATTCAGTTTCAAAATAAATAAATGTAGTATCACTAGAAGGGCCTACGAAAGGGAGGATCCACTATTCGTGCAAGTAAGATGGTGGATACAAACGGCAGATGTAGGAAAGAGCATTATGACATCGGAACCATGCTACCTCAAAAGTCTCTTGATGAGAAAGGATGATGGCGGGATCTTAATTTAGAAAGGAAAAAGGAAACAATAGAAAATATGGGAAACCTTTCAATGTTCTCCCTACAACATAGAAGTTCTATCTTTTTTTTACCATCCAGCTGTCTATTTTTTATAAAGAGCGCCACTCACCGTTTGATTTAAGATCCGACGTTTAAAAGTATTTTAGTTTTAGTTTCTTTAATACAATTTTTCTGAATATGAAATTTGGTCTCATTGGGGGCACAACTATAAAAAATATTAAAAATAATTTTTTGATAAAAAATAATAACCAAATACCCCTTGAAACTTTTAGGGGTATTTTGGTTATTTTATTAAAAATATTTTTTTTATATTTTTCATTAGTGAGAGTTTAATAGAGGAATGGACATCCAAAATTTGGTGTCAAAATTGTTTATAGAAAAAAAAAATTAAAAATAAGACAGTGTAGAGACGTGATATTGTGATTGAAGCAATCTTAACCTTCCATTCAAAAATGGATGGTTGGATATGGGGGAGGATAGAACTTCTATGTTGTAAAGGGAACATAGAAAGCTTTTCGTAGAAATATTACTCATCCTAGTTTTAAAAAGGCAATAATAGAAATATTATTTTTTTCTTTTTAAGAGAATGTAATAAGATAGGAAAGTGTATATTGTATCTAATAAGATAAAAAGGTGTCCATTATATTATTATTATATATACAGTGAAATGGTCACCACATTGTTAGTGTGGAATACAATTATTCTATCAAAAGAGTTCCTCTCAAAAAAAAACTTTTATGATATCATAACAAACATCGATGCCAATATCTCAATCCAAAATAAGTCTCTCACTCCCCTTTCATGCAAAATTTTTTGCGCCCTTGCATCTACTGTTTTACACCCTTTTAGTCCCTCAATACTTTGCCTTTTACATCATCCTTTTTTTTGCATACGTCATCCATCGTTTTGCATCATTCTTGTTTGCATACTTCTTCACCCCTTGCATCCATGACGTGGCTCCAGTTTTTCACTTTGCCATTGTTTTCACATCGTCAAGATTTATTCGTCACTCATCCATGGCATCTATATATCACCCCAATTCTCATACGTCCACGTCATAAAACCCACTTTCTACATCCTCTTACACCATAACATCATTCCACACAAACCCTCTCTCTAAAATCAAGCACTAAATCTCCTGCCCATCTTCTTTCTCATAAACGCCCAACTAGCTTCTTCCTATCTTTTTCTTTTTACCAGACGTCCAACACCCTCCTCTCGATCTTTTCTAAGATTTTTCCACATCCCAACTCACATATTTCATTAAACCACATTATTTCTCACACTTATTTAAACCAATCCTTTCTCAATCGATCCATCTATCTTCAAAATACCTCTTTATTGTAATGAATTCACCATATTCATTGTTCTTTAGTCACCTACCAAACTATTCATCACTTTGGATTTTTGGGTGTCAATATTTTTTGTACCTCGAGACTATGATGAAGATAAATTCTGTTCTCGTTCTCTTCTATGTTTATTTTTGGATTATTATATTCAGCATAAGCATTACAGATGTTTGCAACCACCCACAAGGCGAGTCTACATCTCCATGCATGTTGTATTTGATGAAAATATTTTTTCATATGCTAATCCAAGTTCTTTGTTTGACAGTGGACATATTCAGAGAGAGCTGACTACCTATGCAAAATGGTTTGAGTGTTACAAATCCTACATACAGACTTTTTCTTTTGATTCATCACCTCCACATAGGGATGCCCAGGATGTGTTTGCTCCTCCAGTTGATTTGCCTCTCAATAATGATAGCTCTCGAACTTCCCTTGTAGAAGAAGGTGCCATCACTATGACATCATACAAGATGTTCAAGATGATGTAGTACGTGCTCATGATGATGAAAATGTTGTCACCCAAGAAACCAACCAATCTCATCTTTCACGAGCCCCTGAGCACCCTCGTCATCATATGGTCACAAGAACTCAATATGGTACTCAAAAACCTCGAATTATGCTCCATGGAAGCAGTCTCAACATAGTTATCAACCTGACCAGAATTGATTTAAGCTAATCCTAGACCTAGACCTAACCTTGTTCAGGTTATGGTCAAGTGGACCCAAACCCAAACCCGGTTTGGTCGATCCATCAAGTCCATGGGTTGACCCGCCCATTTCCCACCCTAATTTACCGGGAGAACTCGAAGCCAGAGTAATTCGCACGTGATGGGCACAAGCGGATGAATCCGCAAGCGAAATCACCAATCCAAAGTAGGTTGGTCTAATAAAATATTAAATATCCAATCATTTGAGGACGAGTACATCTTCCCACTTATAGCGAGCCCTTTTTCTCCCACTGACAATAAAGCAATTGATTTAGCATAGTGTTTCATGACATCACATATAACTCGTCAAGTAACAAGGGGAAGGTTCATTGTTACACATAAGATAATGGAGAGAGAGAGAGAGATCCTTCAGATATCCTTCATATTTTCATACGGTGAAGTACATTTGAGAGAGATCTTCTATGTGTGTGATATTAAATTGGCCTTTAATGCACAAGCATGAGAAAGAGAGAGAGGGAGGGGGTGAAACACTCGTCGCGAAGTAAAGGAGCTGGAAAGCAAAAGGAAAAGCAAAAGGAGAGGCTAAAAGCATATCGTATTTGTTTCTTAAACTCTAATGAAATGGAATGAAATGAAGCACATGAGAGGTCCAAATACTTATATAAATAGTGTGAATGTGTGGGGTCTTTGCTGCAACAAGTAAAGGATGGATGAGATTACTGTTGTTGAAGAAGATGGTGGACGATCAAATGGTGATAGTAGTAGCAGCAGAAGCAGTGGAGCGAGAACGGTCGGCGATGTCCCTGAGCCCTTCGACAGTGAAGCCCTCCCTCCCACGATTATTGAGATTCGCCCCTTCCTTCGTGTGGCCAACGAGATCGAGCACGACTACCCCCGTGTTGCTTATCTCTGTAAGAGCTATCTCTATCTCTCTCATGTGTCTGCAGCACTAATATCAAGTTTTCTCTCTCTGTGTGTGCGACGCTACCATCCAACTTTGCATACTTATGCAATTACTAGCACACAATCTAACATAGGGAAGTGTGTCTTTTGTTGCCTGTGTGTGTTGACATATTACAAACACAGAACTTGTATGTAGTACTTCAGAAATTTAAACACTTTCTTTCAAAACTTTTCTCGAGATAGTACCTAACATACTACTGCATTTTTTTTTTAAATAATGTATAGACGTGTCTGAAAAGCTGATACTAGCATTTTTAATACTCATATATTTCCGACTCATATATCCGTATGTATGTAGCATATCCACCATCCATCAACATTAAAACCAACTACCGTTGCTTGTAGGCGAACTTTTTAATAACACATAGAAGTGAAGCTTACTCATAAATGTTTAGTTGCTTTAATTTGTGACGCTATAATTTAGTAGTATTGTCTCTAGCAGGAGTACTAGTAATAGTGCAATTACCATGGCCTCCAGGGAAGCCATATGTCAAAGTCTTTCATACTATGAACTAATTGTCTTTGGTTAAAAAGAAAAAGAAAATGAAAAATCACATCTATTACATAAATTTTGAAAAGAAAATCTATAATAGTAGAATAATTACCTTCAAATTTGAGAAGTTGTTATATTTAGGGGAAATTATTCAAATACCATAAGAGATGAGTTATTTAACTTTTTGCCCATTTACAACTATTCCAACTCAAGACCATGTGTTTCTTTATGGGTATTTTGAAATTAAATAAAAAAATAGCCAACGTATTCAATTGTTCATGTCTATTATCTCACCATCATCGCCAGATCAGTTTCCCAACTAATTGGAGTTGGCTTCATATCTTATTATCTAATTTCATAAAATTTTGCTTATACGTATTGTCATACAATTAATGTCACATTTATTATAACTCATCGTCATCATCATCATAATCTTATCTCAATTATTTAAGGTTAGTTACACGAATCCTATTTTGTTATTCTGTTCTATCAAAGACCATACCATCCAAAGAACTGTAACTCCCCATATCCTTTTTCGTTACACTTGGAAAAAAAAAAAAAAGGCCTCATATATCACCCATGTTACTCACAGCTAATCCTTGGTTCCGAAGCAACTGACCATTCTGTCGGAGCGAAAAAGAGGCTTGATGGAATGGTTTAAGGACCCCTCATAAAATAAGGGATAGTATTGGAAAATGGTGCAAAGCTGTAACTTTTACAAGGATTAGTGGAGGTTTGCTTATTCTATATATATAGTATACATTTCTCTTTTCTTTGACTTCTTGATTGTACTTTGGAGTTTTAAAGTTTGGAGGAAGCATGTCTTTTTCCACATTCCACTTATAAGAGAAAATGTGAAGCTAGCCTTCTTTCATTAATACAAAAGGGGTGGACACAACTTACACGTGTGTGCACCTTTCAAACTTGAAAGACATGAAAGTATAACTATATATAACCAATAATGAATGGACCCGGTTTCCATGCAGCCATGTCCGCATGCGGGCATCTTAATAAATCAATCTTTTAGATAGATTTTAAGGCTTAATTTTTTAGGATATATAATTTCTAACATGGAGATCATGAATATGAAAAAATAAATAATTTTAAAAACTGAAAATAATAATTCTAGTAAGAAAATATTTGGACCGTTAGTTTCCATTGTTTTTAGATGAAATACCTACTTGCATCCATCTTTAAGATGGATGCTTTACACTTCCTCGACCGCATATGTAGAAATGCGGTCCAGCCGGCAAGAAACAATTTTCCGTAATGAATTACTTGAACCAAAGGAGCGAAGGAGTAGTACACTGTACATATTGTCTAGTGTACATGTGTACACATAGCGGTGTCCATTATCGATACCAAAAACTAAAAGAAAGTAAACAAAATTCGAAGGAGAATGGAAGATGAATCAGTATTCCCTTTTGGTTGAATCGTTCTGGCCCTATTTTTTATTATCTTGATGCCCAGAGCATAGGAAGCCTCCCCTAGATCTTTCATGTCAAAGTGTTGTGATCAAATGCAGTCGATAATAGATTTCTGTTGTCGGTTTTCATTGTCATGTCTAACGGCTTAGGAAGTTTATTGCCTTTTTGTACTCAAGGTAATAGCTTCTTCAATAATTACCTTAATTAAGGACATTATAGACACTTACGAAGCTGACCCCAATTAGTTGGAAAAGACTTTGAGGATGATAATAATAGACAATTATGAATATCAAGCAAGATACAAGCTAAAGAAGAAGAGCTCATATACTGTGCTCCCACAACAGCATGTTGTGCATCAACTTCCTTGGTCAAAATATGTAGAAATGCGGTCCAGCCGGCATGAAACAATTTTCCGTAATGAATTACTTGAACCAAAGGAGCGAAGGAGTAGTACACTGTACATATTGTCTAGTGTACATGTGTACACATAGTGGTGTCCATTATCGATACCAAAAACTAAAAGAAAGTAAACAAAATTCGAAGGAGAATGGAAGATGAATCAGTAGTCCCTTTTGGTTGAATCGTTCTGGCCCTATTTTTTATTATCTTGATGCCCAGAGCATAAGAAGCCTCCCCTAGATCTTTCATGTCAAAGTGTTGTGATCAAATGCAGTCGATACTAGATTTCTGTTGTCGGTTTTCATTTTCATGTCTAACGGCTTAGGAAGTTTATTGCCTTTTTGTACTCAAGGTAATGGCTTCTTCAATAATTACCTTAATTAAGGACATTATAGACACTTACGAAGCTGACCCCAATTAGTTAGAAAAGACTTTGAGGATGATAATAATAGACAATTATGAATATCAAGCAAGATGCAAGCTAAAGAAGAAGAGCCCATATACTGTGCTCCCACAACAGCATGTTGTGCATCAACTTCCTCGGTCAAAATACCTAGCTCATTTGATTTTTTTTGTCTAAAATTTTGGGAACCATATAAAATTACTAGATAATTATTTTAAAATAAATATGTGAATTTCAAGTTTTACAACACTTAGATCTAACCCTTAAAAAATTGGACGGTTTCTATTCGATTTGAGGCACTAGTTTTGTTTAGTACATAAAAAGTCTATTTCAATTTTTTTTTCTTTTGCTAAAAATATTCTATGAGTTATTTAGATTATATCCTCAAAATTTGAGATCCAAAAAGTATCCATAGCATGTATTTTGTCCAAGGAAGTAAATAGAAAGTATGCTGGTGCAAGAGTTGGAAATATTATGGGAAAGAAGAATATGATAAACTAAGAGTTGGTATCTTTTGGGAAAGAAGAATATGATAAACTTGACCTAGAATGAAGTAAATAACAAAAAATTATTAAGTAAAAGCGAGAAACAGACCGTAGGAGTACGCAATTAACAATGGACAAGCATCCAAATAAAACCATAAAGAAGTAAAGATACGATCAAGGAATCAATAATGAATGACAAAAGAAAGAATTTCAGCACAAAAAGCAAAGAAAAAGAAATTTCAGATGGGATCTGAGAGATTCATACCGATAAAGAAAGGTAAGAGAGAAAATACTAAAAGTACCCAACAAAACAGATCTTATTTGAAAAACAATATGAAAAGAAAAAAGTTGACTTACTCCAACAAAAAATTTATAACAAGGAAAAAGTTTATGTAAGGTTGCAACCTTAAAATGTAGAATTAAAGATGCAAATAAAAAATCCAGGTTGTTTTAATATTAAAAACCATCTAATTGATCATCTCGACATCGAGATGTGTGAATATGAAAATAAAATATTTTGAATCCCATAAATAGTGTATCTTGCAGCACATTATCTAGACCATCCATTTTCAATATTTTTATACATTTATAGATCTACTTGATTTTAAACCTTTTTGGAGTTTGAAATTTTATAATTAGAGATAAAAATTGATTTTAAATAATACTAAGAATTTTTTACACCAAAATTACTTGTTATGATAAAATTCGTCGGTGCGCCTTAATTGGATTGTTTAAGGTTCCAATCTTATACAAACCACCCCCGTATAAAAATATCATAAAAGAAAAAGAATCATAAAAAATATATATTTTTTAATTAAATCATGGTATAAATGTGGATATACATATAATTTGATGTTTATTATGGTGATTAGTGAATTTTTCTCATCATATGCTCTAGTTTTCTAATTTTTCCTTTTTTATGATTTGCCTGAATTTCCAGCTAAAAATCAATTTTTCCAAATTTCATCTGTCATATATTTTTTCCATCTCTTTAAGACTTTGAATATGGTTTATTGTTTTGTTTGGTCTTTACTAAAATGTAGAATTTTTTCGATTTAAAAAAAAAAATTGCATTTTATTTCAAAATTCTAGCCCTTTTTAGGTTTTTTTGTGACTCGGACAAGTTGACTCAGATTCTTTCAATTACTCAGTGGGGGGCCGAATCCCGAGCCCGAGCCGAGTTTTTTTATCATTGTCCATGATAAAGCCCACAAACTCCTGTTCAACATTAGTGAACTTATGTGACACTATTTTGTTCTCTAAAAGTGTGAAACCACAAAACCCTCTCTCCTCCTCTCCCATGTTTTTCTCTTTTGAGTAGTTCCACACTTTTGAGTAGTTTCACAGTAGGAATTGAACTTGAGACTTCATGCGGTTAACATCAACTGCTAAGCACTCAAGCACAAGCCGGATGCATAGTGTGAAGGTTTAACAAAGTCCATAGAGGAATGGAATGAAGCTGGTCCATTTTCCTTCCATAAAAAAGGACCAAAAGAGAGTTTCACCAAATATAAAAAAGTGAAAAAGAAAAGGAAACGGTAAAGGAGAAAAGAAAATGGGACCGAAAGGTAAAAACGAGAAAAGAGAATAACAAAGATACCCTTTTTGACCACATTACTTAACTTTTATTGATAATCGATAGCATAAATATTTTTTATTATAAATTTTATTTAATTTTTTTACAACCGATTTCTCTTTTCAAAATAATGGTGGCCTTTTTGGGTGAATAAAATAAGGAAAA